CCTGGCCTTTAAAGGGGCTTCTGCTAACACAGATATCTGGAACGTCTTAAAAATGGGAGGAACTGTGGGGTGTTTCTTTGAGGTGTGGAAAATGCTATGTCAAGAAGCCCAGAGGAGACTATTTTAAAGCTCCTACAGAGGAACATGAGTAGGTGCCCCAGAACCAGAAAGTTTGGAGAGGTGGGGGCCAGCCAGATCCTCAGTGTCCCCTCATCAGCCTTGCACCCAGGGATGGATTACCCAATAAGCAAGGTATGCATGGGCTTACTTGTGCTTACTTACTAATCTGTAGTGCACAATTTCACCTTTTTTCACCACATATTTGATTTCACCCATGTGAAATTGTTCATTACAAAGTAGTAAGTAAACACATTTAAGCCCATGCATACCTTGCTTACTGGTTAATCTGCCCCTGCTTGCACCCATGAATGCAAATATAAGTAAAGGCAATATGCTGTCTATGCAAATACAGCTTGAAGGCAAGTGCTCTTCCAACCTGATTTTGTTTTCTCCACCCAACCCTCCTATGTAGAAATCCTAGAGCCTTGCCATGTTTTACTGACACAGATTGTGCCTCTGACCCCAGCCAGATGCCTTCCTGTCAATAAGAAGGGGATAGACGACAAGATAAAATGCAAACCCTCAGACAATAGAAACTCCATTAAGTGGTTGGGTTCCTGTCCTGAGGGCAATAGGGAGCCCCTGAGTGCTTTCTAAACAAGGGAGCAACCTGAACTTCTTTCTGTTTCTCATTTTCACCTGCAAGAGAACGAATAGAACGTGTGTACCTTGCCTCTAATGTGCTCATTGGACCAGAAGTGTCAGTAGAGCTGCAGGAAAAGTAGACAGTGATTCATGAAGTTTTCTTCTTTAAGAATTCTTCAGCCAGTGGACTTTCCAGCTTTTGAGACTAGTGACAGCAAGTGGGGTTGACTTGTTTCTTTTCTCTCACTCTCCCCAGAGCGCCTCTGAGACATCATCTGGACTCATTCGCTCACCCTCCGTGACCACACTTGCCTCTTCCAGCAGCACCCAGCTGTCCGTTGGTTTCAGCACCCCAGCCACCTCCCAGGGCTGTTTGGATTCTTCAGCTGCTCGACACAAGATGGCTTTAAACCCCCGGAAACAAAAGAGCAAGAAGAAACTTCAAGCAACTGTAAGTCCTTCAGGAAGCCCAGGAATAAATTCTTTGTATAATGAAAAATGAGTTCCAACATTTGCAATTTGCTCTAGGGAAGTGGTATGGTTTAGAGGACCCATAGCCTAGGTGTTGTTGTTAGGTTCCATGGTGTTGATTTCAACTCATAGCGACCCCATGTGATAGAGTAGAACTGCCCATAGGGTCTTCTAGGCTGTAATCTTTACTGGAAGAGATCACCAGGTCTTTCTCCCGCAGAGCCGCTGGGTGGGTTCAAACTGCCAGCCTTTCAGTTAGCAGCCGAGCGCTTAACATTGTGCCACCAGGGCTCCTATACTCTAGGTAGGGATGGTAAAGTTGAGGGCACTGTCCTGGGCTTGATGCCCCCAGAGGGGTGAGCAATCTTGCATCTAATATTGAGGTAGCCTATCCATTTGGAACTTGTATAAAAGTGACTGAAGAAAGGAGCAACAGTGACAAAACCCCCAGAAACTTCTTATTGGATTAGCATCTGGGAATTCACTCAGCCCTCTGTAGAGAATCTTCAACCCTAGCCCAGATCAGGATTATTTTAGTTATTAATTATATGAAATTCATGAGTTACCAATGGTAGCACTTCCACTCATTTGTAGGTGAGGCTTCCAGAAACTCCAAACATTCACAACTCAGCTATTAACCCTTCAAAAGATCACTGTGTTCTTTTAAAGAATTATCTATAGGAGATCAGATTGACAACAGCAGCTCAAAAGTTAGATGAGAGGCTTAGGGGGCAGTGAGTTTGTGTTGATGATGGTAAAACAATTTGGAAAAGAATGTTGAGAAAGGTGGCACAACTTGAAGAATGTAACCAATGTCACTGAACTGTACATATAGAAATTGTTGAATTGATGATGTTTTGCTGTGTATATCTTCACCAAAAATAGAAAGTCCTCTCAGTGTCAAACAGATGTCACAAAGTCCTGTCATATGACTTTCTAGGAGGCAGAGTTATACTTAGGCCAACTGATTATGTTAAAAACATGATCACAGATCAGACTCAGAGACTGACGACAAAGAGAAGTGACAGCTGATAACAGAGAGAGATGAGAGAAATAATCTGGGGCCATTTAGTATAGGCCAAGAACCTTGCCCAGCTCTATAGCTCCCTTGGGGCCTCACTGAATCACAGTTTAGTGTAATAGATCATGTTCATTGTTTGTCCTAGTCATCAAGAAAAGTTGAATTATGTTCCCTGATTTCTATTTAAGAAGACAGGGAAGTAATGCCATTGGAAAAGATTTTCACTAAAAGTTAAGAATTAAAAGATACTAGTGTTTAAAAAAAAGAGCCTTGGTGCTGCAAAGGTTTAGCGCTTGGCTCCTAACCAAAAGGTTGGAAGTTCAAACCCACCTAGCCACTCTGCAGGAGAAAAACCTGGCAATCTGCTTCTGTAAAGATTACAGCCAAGAAGTATGGGGCAGTTCTACTCTGTCACATGGCGTTGCTATGAGTCGGAAATTGACTCGACGGTACACAACAACAGCGAGTGAAAAGGATGTGTCAGTGAGCTGGAAAATTCACTCTGGTGGAACACCCAATCCCAGTGATTCTGGGCTATAAGTGAGGGGCTGTAAATCAGAGCTGGAAAAGACAAAAAGATTGTGTAGTGCAAGCATTTTACAAGGAAGGACATTAAAGCACGAATAGTTGGAGTACTTGCCCAAAATCAAACACCCAGGTAATATCAGAGCTAGATCCAGAACCCAGTCTCCTGACTTCCAGCCCAGTACTCTTTTCACCCACCCCATTGCCTGTAGCTTAGACATCTCAATTTAGCTTTAGAAAGTAGTTATTGTTGTTAGGTGCCATCAAGTAAGTTCCAACTCATAGCGACCCTATGTACAACAGAACGAAACACTGTCCGGTCCTGCGCCATCCTCATAATTGTTGTTATGCTTGAGCCCGTTGTTGCAGCCAGTGTCAATCCATCTCATTGAGGGCCTTCCTCTTTTTCGCTGACCCTCTACTATACCAAGCATGATGTCCTTCTCCAGGGACTGATCCCTCCTGATTACATGTCCAAAGTATGTGAGACAAAGTGTCGCCATTCTTGCTTCTAATAAGCATTCTTGTTGTACTTCTTCCAAGATAGATTTGTTTGTTCTTTTGGCAGTCCATGGTATATTCAATATTCTTCACCAACACCATAATTCAAAGGTGTCAATTCTTCTTCAGTCTTCCTTATTCATTATCCAGCTTTTACATGTATATGAGGTGACTGAAAACACCATGGTTTGGGTCAGGCACATCTTGGTCTTTAAAGTGACATCTTTGCTTTTTAACACTTTAAAGAGATCTTTTGCAGCAGATTTGCCCAATGCAATGCATCTTTTGATTTCTTGACTGCTGCTTCCATGGGTGTTGATTGTGGATCCAAGTAAAATGAAATCCTTGACAACTTCCATCTTTTCTCCATTTATCATGATGTGTTGCTTTTTGGTCCAGTTGTGAAGGATTTTGTTTTCTTTATGTTGAGGTGTAATCCATACTGAAGGCTGTGGTCTTTGATCTTCATCAGTAACGGCTTCAAGTCTTCTTCACTTTCAACAAGCAAGGTTGTGTAGTCTGCCTACCGCAGGTTGTTAATGAGTCTTCCTCCAATCCTGGACACAAAGTACAAATTGAAAGAATATTGGCAGGAGCAGGGTGTGCAGTTAAGAAGGGTCCTTTGGTGGCTCTAAGAGGATCTCCTTGGTTTGGTGTCAGGCAAGGGGTGACCAGTTACTATGTGCCGAGCCCTGTACACACATTATCCCCTGGACACATCACCACAAACATGGGAGATGGGGGATGTTGGCTGAGGGAAACTTCATTGTGACCCTTCTTTCTTCCTTCTGATAGCTTAACTGAGAAGAAGCCTTGAGAGCACTCTCTGAAAAGGCCTGGACATCTCCTGCTTCCCTATAACTCTCTCTCTGACACATGGATGAATATAAAAGGGTCCAGGGTCATTTATGACACAGAGGCTGCTATCACTTGCTTCTTGCTCTGGAATGGCTTAGATCTGCAAGTCCCACAGGAGGTTTGTCCTTATCCCTAATTTAGAGACACAGAAACTGAGAATCAGAGCATAACTTGCCCAAGGTCACACAGCTAATAGGTGATGGAGCAGTAATTTGAACCCAGGTCTATCAGACCTCATTCACTCAAAAATTATCTTAAGCTGAGTGTCTCTGTGCAGGTACTTCGAGTGGGAGCATAAAGATTTGTATGTCTGTCTTTAGTGCATGCCATAAAGGCTTATACTAAGCAAATTCCAGCTGCCGTTCAGTGCAGTGCTGCTCTGACATTTCCAGAGCTGCAGTGTAATTATCTGCAAACCTTGTTTATGCTAAACCAATTTCAACCCATTCTGTGCAAGGGCTAAACCCTTCATCTTTTACTCTCTTCCATCCCAACAAAACCCCAGTCTTCTTTCTTCTTTGGAGCTGGAAAAACATAATTCATGCTTTCACTAAATTCCCTGAAACAAAGCCAAATGGGATTTGAATTTGGCTCACAAGTCTGGCGAACCAAATTTGAGAATTCCACTGTTGCCAGGGGCCTGATTGTTGTCAGACCCAGCAACCCCATTTTCAGATTAATGGCCTTCCAGTGTGTTTCAGTGGTTTCCGGCATGTTTTAGCATGTCACTCAGAGATTCAACCAAACCAGTTGCCAGTCAAGTTGATTCTGAATCATGGTGACCCCCATGTCTGTCAGAGTAGAACTGTGCTCCATAGGAGTTTCAATGGCTGACTTTTTAGAAGTAGATCACCAGGCCTTTCTTCCAAGGCATCTCTGGGTGGACTCCAACCTCCAACCTTTTGGTTAGCACCTGAGCATGCTAACTCTTTACACCACCCAGGGACTCCCTCAGAGATCAGAAACTCCAAATATGGATGAAACACTTACAATGAGTAAAACAATTAGCAGGGACCTCTGGTTGGATGCCACTGGGAAAAACTTCCATCTTTAATGGTATTGTTATGCTCCCAGCAGAGTCTTTTGGATATCAAGAACATCTTTCCTTATTTTTTTCTTGTGGCAACCATGAAGGGGTAGGTAGAGAACACTTCAGTCTGATTCAAACTCTTTCCCTCCCTGTTTTAGGTGAAACCAAGACAGGAGGAGCCAAGCCTTCCACTGGCTTCTGAAGAAGAGAAGAGTACAACCCAACCAGAAGAAACTGACCAAAAGAAGCCAAAAAAAGACAGTGCAGGTTGGCACATCTTCACCCTCATCCTGAAACATGTATTGCGAGCTTAATTGCACGGTGCTATATGACAGGAGCTATATAAAGAGGAACCTGCTGCCCTTGGTCCTCAAAGAACTTTCCATTTAAGAAGCATACTAAGGTGGTCCAGTTTTCTCCATCTAAACTGCCTAATAAATGCAATTGCCACTTGTGTAGGGTTTAGGTAAAGGTCATACCTGATTGCTATTTTATCTAAATGAACTTCCAGCCATAGAGGTGTTTTGTTAGCTTGTTTGTAAGTTTGTTTTATCCTCTCTGAGTCTATTGCATATGTTGAGTTCCTCAGTGAGCCCATCTTTCTGAGGGCAGCCAGTGATTTCCCCCTCAGTGATCCCCTCAACAACAGAACCAGACAAGAATAACAGAGTTGGCCCCATACTCCCTTTTTAAAGTTACCTTTCTCTTCCAGTAGAGAGAAAAGGTCTTGTGTTAACAGTGAGACCAGTTCCCATATCCGTGGGCAAAACAGTTTGGGCAGCTGCAGACAGATGTCTTTGGCAGCCAACACCTGTCAAATCCTGAAACAATGACCACCACCAGACTGAAAGTGTGTGTGTGTGTGTGTGTTACGCATGCACGTGTACGCGTGTGTGTGTGCGTATGTGGATATTGGCTTCAGCTGATGGAAAGCTAATTTCAAGCAGTACGTACTTGCTAAAACAAAATTCCAGTTCCACAAATTAAGCGGAACAGTTATTTCATGTTTTTGCCACAAAGGATTTCACACGTGGGCTCAAAGACAGGATATCCCTAAATACACTTTCCCATGAAAACTAACGAAACGATCACACGTACACACACACACACACACACACACACACAATAAAAAGAAATTAAATGAGTAATCTCTTTTAATTTCTTTTTATCTTTTTCATAGTTATTTTTAATAGTTGTCCCTTTTCACCCAGAGAATAGAACTGAGTCAGTGTCCATGGGGGCAGATACTTGGGTTTTCCATATAATGAAAGTGGTTTTGAGTGTTACCAGCTATGCTCAGCACTGTATGCTGGATATGAAACCACTAGATGGAGCTAGGGATGCAGTAGACAGGGCAGAGTATTCTTATTTTAGGATGTCAAAACACACATATTTCTCCTTTCCTTATTTCTATTTGGTACAGGTCCCTCAAGCCACGAACAGAGCCACAAGACTGAGATTTATGCTAAGAAGACAACAGATCAGGCTTCAAACACTGATGCAGCTGGGAGTCAGGGCTACCCAGTGTCAGCAGCACATGGAAGAAAACGTGGAAGGAAAAGATCAAATACTTCAGGAATGAGTGAGTGTGGATCCAAAGGAAGAAGACTTAAAAAATCCAGTCAAGGCCGTGGCCTAGGAGATCGAGCTGGGTCCCCATCTGCTGAGAAGACTGCCAGGGATTGCCCTCTCTGGCACCTGCCCTTGGAGAAGCAAGTTATGGAGCAACCCACAACTCCAGAAGCAGAAACAGCTACCCCTCAGGAGTTGCTAAGTGCCGGCATAGATGACAAAGCCAGAAAAGCATCATCAGCACCACAACCCATACCTGAAGACATGAGAGAGTCCATGGTTAGTGGTCCACCACCAAACAATGAAGATAGGGCTTCTGGAGCTGAGAATACAGAAGCCAGGGCTTCTCTTTTACCAGTAGTGGAAAGCCCTTCTACAACCCAAGAAGATGTCATTCCCCCAGTGAGACTGGAGGCTCAGGCAGTTATGGATCCTTCTCCCATCCAGTCAGAAGGGGAAGCAGCTTCCAGCCTTGATTCACAAAATGCCCAATTTAAAATGGAGTCAGCTCAGGATACACCAACCATCTGCAAAGAAAAGCCTCCTGGAAACGTGCTCCAGGCCTTTACAGCAAGCACTGCAGATACAGCAAGTGCTAGGGCAGATAGAGGCATTTCTGCTGCGAGGCTGCCTCCCAGAAGCCTTTTTCAGGCTTTGGAGAGGCCTGAAGACTATCAACAAGTCTCAGATTCAGAGAGTACTTCAGAAGAGGAGAGTGATTCTGAGGAGCAGCTGGCTCCTGGACACTCTTTCCAGTCCTTGGAGAAGCCTGAAGATGAACAAGAAGTCTCCTCAGAATCAGAAAGTTTAGCTGGGGAATCGAGCAGTTCTGGGCAGCAGATGGCTCTCAGACACTCGTCACAGGCCTTGGGGAAGGCTGAAGATAAACAAGAAGCCTCCTCAGATTCAGAGAGTACTTCAGAGGAGGGGACTGGTTCTGAGGAGGGGACTAGTTCTGAGGAGGGGACTGGTTCTGAGGAGCAGCTGGCTCCCAGATGCCTTTCCGAGGCTTTGGGGGAGCCTGAAAATGAAGAAGTCTCCACAGGATCAAATAGTTATGTTGAAAAGTACAATAGTGCTGAGGATTGGAGCAGCTCTGAGGAAGACCTGCCTCCCAAACACCCTTCCCAGGCCTTGGGAAAGCCTGAAGACCAACGAGAAGTCGCCTCAGTTTCAGAGAACACTCCTGAGGAGTGGAGTGTTTCTGTGGAGCAGCGGCCACCCAAATGCCCTTCTCAGCCCTTTATGAGGCCTGTTGTTCAGCAACAAGTCCCGTCAGGTTCAGTGAGTGCTTCTGCAGAATGGAGTGGTTCTGTGGAGCCAATGTCTTCCAGCTGCCCTTCCCAGCCATGGTTGAGCCCTGAATTCAAGCAACAAGTCTCTGCAGGTCCAGAGAGCACTACTGTTGAGTGGGACATTCCTATGGAGCCGCTGCCTCCCAGAGTCTCTTCTAAGCGTCAGAGAAGGCCTAAAGTAGGGAAACAAGTCTTCTCAGATCCAGAGAGTGCTACTGTTAAGGAGATTATTTCTAGGGAGCCTATGCCCCTGATGAGACCAGTAGTTGAGCAAGAAGTCTCTGTAGGTCCAGAAATCACTGCTGCTGAGGGGAGCAGTTCTGTGCAGGAGCTGTCTACCAGATGTCCTTCCCAGCCTTTGGTAAGACCAGCAGTTGAGCAACAAGTCTCCTTGGGTGCAGAGAGTGTTGCGACTGAGGAGAGAATTTCTATGGAGCCTCTGCCTTCCAGACGCACTTTTCAGCCACGGATGAGCCCTAAAGTCAAGCAACAAGTCTCTTCATTTCCAGAAAGCACAGTTGTTGAAGGGAGCATTTCTATGGAGCATCTGCCTCCTAAACTTTTTTCCCAGTCTTTGATGAACCTTAAAGTTGAGCAAAAAGTGTTTTCAGGTTCAGAGGGTGTTGCTGCTGAGAGGATCATTTCTGTGGAACCACTGCCTCCCAGATATTCTTCCCAGTCCTTGCCAAATCCTAAAGTCCAGCAAATCTTCTCAGAGAGCACAGCTGTTGAGGAGGGAATTTTTGTGGAGCCGCTGCCTCCTGGATGCACTTTCCAGCCCTCGATGAGGCCTAAATTCCAGCCACGGATCATTACTTTAGATTCAATGAGTGCTTCTGCAGAATGGAGCGGTTCTGTGGAGTCAGTCCTTCCCAGACACCCTTTCCAGTCATGTGTGAGGCCTAAATTCAAGCAACAAGTCTCTGCAGGTCCAGTGAGTGCTGCTTTTGAGGGGAACGTTTCTATGGAGTCGCTGTCTTCCAGATATCATTCTCAGACCCTGATGAAGCCAATAGGCAAGCAAGAAGTCTCCTCAGGTTCAGTGAGTGCTTCTGCAGAATGCAGCGATTCTGTGGAGCCAGTGCCTCCCAGACACCCTTCCCAGCCATGGGTAAGCCCTAAATTTGAGCAACAAGTCTCTACAGGTCCAGAGAGTACTGCTGTTGAGGTGGGCATTTCTACAGAGCAGCTGCCTTCCAGACATCCTTCTCGATCCATTGTAAGACAGAAAGTCCAGCAAATTTCCTCCAGTTTTGAGAGTGCTGCTATTGAGGGGGGCATTTCTGGGAAGCCACTGCCTCCCAAATATCCTACCCAGGTCTTAATGAGATCTAAAGTCCAGGAAATGTCCTCACATCTAGAGAACACTGCTGTTGAAGAAGACATTTCTACGAAATCGCTGCTTCCTGGGCGTCCTTCCCAGTCATTTGTGAAGTTTATGGCACAGCAAGTCTTTTCAGGTTCAGAGAGCCCTGCTGTTGTGGGGGGCACTTATGTGGATCCTCTGCCTCCAAATCATTCTTCCAAATCTCTGTTGAAGCCTAAAGTCGAGCACCAAGTTTTCTCAGGTTCTGAGAGTGCTGACATTGAGGAAGGCATTTCTATGAAGCCGATGCCTATGAAGCGCCGTTTACAGTCTTTGGAAAGGCCTAAAGACCGACAAGAAGTTTCCTCAGATTCAGAGAATACTCCAGAGAAGTGGAGCAGCTCTAAAGAGCAACTGCGTCCCAGACACCTTTCTCAGGCATTGGGGAAGCCTGAGCACCAGCAAGAAATCTCAGTTTCTAAGAGCTTCCCTGAGGAGAGGAGGAGCTCTGAAGAGAAGCTGCCTTCCAGACACCCTTTCCAAGCCACAGATTCCCAGCCACAGACTTCCTCAACAGGCTCAGTGAATGTACCTGTAGAGTGCAGCAGAGACTCTGAAGAACAGCAACAGAGTGCTACTGCTGAGGGATCCATTTTTGAGAGTGATGCTGGCAGCCGGTCCCTACCAAGAGCTCCGGTTTCTCCAAACAAAACCAAGAGGCACAGCCAAAGCTCCGAAGACCTCATTAAGTCTCTTTCTACCAAACCTGTGAAGTTCATCGCTGCTCCTGCCCAGCAAACATCCATTTCTGGGGGTCTTTACTCTAAGAAAGAAGTTCTTGAGAGAGGTGAACAGAATGATAACAAGCTTTCAAGTTCACCTGCCAGTGGGGCTGATATTGAAAACCTTTTTGGAGTGAAGCTGAGAAGAATCCCTTCCTCGCAGAAGTACAAGAGTGAGAAACAAGGTGAATTTACCAAGCTTCCTACAAGCCCCTTGGGCCCAACTTCATCATCCAAAGGAAGAGAATATCAAATCAGAAGAACCGCTTCCCTGGGGCGCCTGGGAACCTCAGACAATCTCACAAGAATGGCTGACTTGGCAGAGAAGCAACAGGTGGGGCCCAAATCTGAAGGCATAACCAAGAAGCAACCTGCTTACAAGATCCCAGGTAAGACTTTAGCTTACTAGAAGGCAAGTAAGTACCAAGTGGAGGGAAGAACTGGAAATCAAAGACTTGGATGGGAGGGAGTCTGTTCTAGCCTTATCTACTGAGTTGTTAATTTAATAGGGCTGGCTTATGGATTTGGGGGCAGGGTAGTGCCCCCTTCTGAGTAGTGCTCCATTCTAGATTAATGGATTTGGAGGTGGTTAATTTTGACTCTTCCCTTTTCCCAAGGGAGTCTCCGTCTGGATACCCATCCACATTCTGGAATGGGCACATGATCATCTCCCCATTCCCTCTCCCCTTCCCCTCTGTACACCTTACATTTGGATGGAACTTTATGCTTTTCTCAAACTACTTTTACATGTATTATGCCCCCCCAATACCATGTGGATTTTTTTAAGCCAACTCATTAATAGAGAAATATGTTCAGACTCTCAGCCTGAAATCTTTTTTTCTTCTTTTTTATTGTGCTTTTGGTGAAACTTTACAGAGCAAATTAGTTTCTCATTCAACCATTTATCCACAAATTGTTTTGTGACATTACTTGCAATCCCCACAATGTGTCAACACTCTCCCCTTCCGCACCCCAATTCCCCGTTTCCATCCATCCATTTTTGCTGTCCCTTCCTGCCTTCTCATCATTGCTTTTGGGCAGATGTTGCCCCTTTGGTCTCGTATACATGACTGAACTAAGAAGCACATTCCTCATGGGTGTTATTGTTTGTTTTATAGACCTGTCTAATCTTTGGCTGAAGGGTGAACTTTGGGAGGGGCTTCAGTTCTGAGTTAAAAGGGTGTCTGGGGGCCATAGTCTTGGGGGTTCTTCCACTCTCTGTCAAACCAGTAAGTCTGGTCTTTTTTGTGTGTGTGAATTTGAATTTTGTTCTATATTTTTCTCCTGCTCTGTCCAGGATCCTCTATTAAGATCCCTGTCAGAGCGGTTGTTGGTGGTAGCCGGGCACCATCTAGTTCTTCTGGGCTCAGGCTGGTGGAGGCTGTGGTACTTGTGGTCCATTAGCCCTTTGGGCTATTATTTCCCTTGTGTCTTTGGTTTTCTTCATACTCCTTTGCTTCAGACAGGATGGGACCAGTAGGCATATCTTAGATGGCCACTCACAAGCTTTTAAGACCCCAGACGCTACTCACCAAAGTAGGATGTAGAACATTTTCTTTATGAACTTTGTTATGCCAATTGACCTAGATGACCCCCATGACCATGGTCCCCAGCCCTCAGCCCCAGTAGCTCAGTCCCTCAGGGTGTTTAGATGTATCTAGGAAGCTTCTATGACTTTGCCTTGGTCAAGTTGTGCTGACTTCCCCTATATTGTGCACTATCTTTCCCTTCACCAAAAACCAAAAAAAAAAAAAAAAACCCAAACCCGTTGCCGTTGAGTCGATTCCAACTCATAGCACCCATATAGGACAGAGTAGAACTGCCCAATAGCATTTCCAAGGAACGGCTGGTGGATTCAAACTGCCAGCTTATCTACTATCTAGTTAATGATTTCCCCTCCCCAACCACCCCTCCCTCCTAACCATCAAAGATTGTTTCTTTCTGTGTGTAAACCTTTTATTGAGTTTTTATAATAAGTGGTCTCATACAGTATTTGTCCTTTTGCGATTGACTTATTTCACTCAGCATAATGCCGTCCAGATTCATCCATGTTGTGAGATGTTTCTCAGCTTGGTCATTGTTCTTTATCATTGCGTAGTACTCCACTGTGTGTATGTACCACAGTTTATCCATTCATCTGTTGATAGGCATCTAGGTTGTTTCCGTCTTTTTGCTATTGTGACTAATGCTGCAATGGGTGTGCATATGTCTATTTGTGTGATGGCTCTTATTTCTCTAGGGTATATTCCTAGGCGTGGGATTGCTCGATCATATGGTATTTCTATTTCTAGCTTTTTAAGGAAGTGCCGTATTGTTTTCCATAGTGGTTGGACCATTTTACATTCCCACTAGCAGTGCATAAGGGTTCCAGTCTCCCCACAGCCTCTCCAACCTTTGTTATTTTCTGTTTTTCTTTTGATTAGTACCATTAATGTTGGGGGGAGACCATTAATGTTGGGGGGAGATTGTATCTCATTGTAGTTTTGATTTGCATTTGTCTAATGACTAGTAATTGAGAGCATTTCTTCATGTGTCTGTTAGCTGCCTGAATGTCTTCTTTGGTGAAGTATCTGTTCATATACTTTGCCCATTTTTTTAATTGGATTATTTGTCTTTTTGTTGTTGAGGTGTTGCAGTATCTTGTAGATTTTAGAGATTAGGCCCTTGTCGGATATGTTGTAGCCAAAAATTTTTTCCCAGTCTGTAGGTTCTTTTTACTCTTTTGGAGAAGTCTTTTGGTGAGTGTAAGTGTTTAATTTTTAGGAGCTCCCAGTTATGTAGTTTATCTTATGGTGCTTGTGCATTGTTAGTTATGGTTTGTATCCTATTTATGCTGTATATTAGGACCCTTAGTGCTGTCCCTATTTTTTCTTCCATGGTCTTTATAGTTTTAGGTTTTATATTTAGGTCTTTGATCCATTTTAGATTAGTTTTTGTGTATGGTGTGAGGTATAAGTCGTGTTTCATTTTTTTACTGATGAACATCCAGTTTTGCTGGCACCATTTGTTAAAGAGGCTATCTTTTCCCCATTTAATGGACTTTGGGTCTTTGTCAAAGATCAGCTGCTCATAGGTGGATGGATTTACACCTGGGTTCTCAATTCTGTTCCATTGGTCTATGATTCTGCAGTTGTACCAGTACCAGGCTGTTTTGACTACCATGGCTGTATAGTAGGTTCTGAGATCAAGTAGTGTGAGGCCTCCTACTTTGTTCTTCCTTTTCAATAATGCTTTGCATATCCGGGGCCACTTTCCTTTCCATATAGTTAGTGATTAGTTTTTCCGTATCGTTAAAAAAATGCTGTTGGTATTTGGATCAGGACTGCATTATATCTGTAGATTGCTTTGGGTAGAATTGACATTTTCATAATGTTGAGTCTTCCTATCCATGAGCATGGTATGTTTTTCCATTTGTGTAGGTCTCTTTTGGTTTCTTGTAGTAGCATTTTGTGGCTTCCTTTGTATAGATCTTAAACCAAAAAAACCCATTGCCATCGAGTTGATTCCGACTCATAGCAACACTATAGGACAGAGTAGAACTGCTCCATAGGGTTTCCAAGGAGTGGCTGGTGGATTCAAACTGCCAACCTTTTGGTTAGCATCCAAGCTCTTAACCACTGTGCCACCAGGGCTCCTTTATGTCCCTCGTCAGATTTATTCCTACTTTTTTTTTTCCAGGGGCAGTTATAAATGGTATTGTTTTCTTGATTTCCTTTTTGAAGTTCTCTTTGTTGGTGTATAGGAACCCAACTGATTTTTGTATGTTTATCTTGTATCCTGGTGCTCTGTTGAATCTTTCTATTAGTTCCAGTAATCTTCTTGTGGAATTTTTGGGGTTCTCTATAGTATCATATAATCTGCAAACAGTGATAGTTTTACTTCTTTCTTTCCAGTTTGGATGCCCTTTATTTCTTTTTCTTGCCTTATTGCTCTAGCTAGAACTTCCAGCACAATGTTAAATAGGAGTGGTGATAAAGGGCATGCTTGTCTTGTTCTGTTCTCAGGGGGAATGCTTTCAGCCTCTCTCCATTGAGAATGATGCTAGCTGTTGTTTTGAATAGATGCTGTTTATTATGTTGAGGAATTTCCCTTCTATTCCTATTTTGCTGAGAGTTTTTATCAGGAATGGGTATTGAACTTTATCAAATGCCTTTTCTGCATTGATTGAGATGATCATGTGATTCTTTCATTTTATTTATGTGGTGGATTACGTTGATTGATTTTCTAATGTTGAACCATCCTTGCATAACTGGTATGAATCCCACTTGGTCGTGGTATATTATTTTTTTGATATGATGCTGAATTCTATTGGCTAGAATTTCATTGAGAATTTTTGCATCTATATTCATGAGAGATATTGGTCTGTAATTTTCTTTTTTGTGGTGTCTTTGCCTGGCTTTGGTATCAGGGTTATGCTAGCTTCATAGAATGAATTTTGGAATATTCTTTCCTTTTCTATGTTCTGAAATAGAGTAGAACTGGTGTCAATTCTTCTCTGAGTGTTTAGTAGAACTCTCCAGTGAAGCCGTCCGGGCCAGGGGTTTTTTTGGTTGGGAGTTTTTCAATTACCTTTTCAATCTCTTCTCTTGTTATGGGTCTGTTCAGATTTTGTATCTCAGTTTGTGTTAGTTTAGGTAGGTAGTGTGTTTCTAGAAATTTATCCATTTCCTGTAGATTCTCAAGTTTGTCGGAGTACAATTTTTGACAGTATCTGAAATCTTGATTTAATGTAAATGTTTCTACTTCTATAGCCTCTTTATTCACCCAAAATATCTGAGAATCTCCAGCTAGGTAACCTTCTAAGCATTAGTCTCTTCCAAAACCCTCATATCTTCACACTCATCATCACATAGTCTTGTATATGCCTGTAAACCCACCCATGTATATACACACACTTGCATAAGGGACTTGCTGTTGTTGTTAGGTGCCATAAGGGACTATGAAGTAACAAATATTATGTTTTTTCCTTGAGAATGACATCAATGGCCTGAGCCTCTGGTATCCTAGGAATTTTCCCAGCCCACCTGGCAGTGACTGGCCTACCCTGATTTTCCATTGCCAACGAGTCGATTCCGACTCATAGAGATCCTATAGGACAAAATAGAACTGCCAAGGCTGTAATCTTTACGGAAGCAGACTGTTGCATCTTCCTCCTACAAGGCGGCTGGTGGGTTTGAACAGCTGAACTTTCAGTTAGCAGCTGAGCTCTTAACCACTGCGTCACCAGGGATCCTCTACCCTAATTTAGAGATGAGAAAAGGGATGGACAAAAGGATGGAAAGGGACCAGTAAGGGGACAGTATACCCAGGCAGTTAAGAAGTACCGCTTCTCAACCATTCAAGGAACTCCTGCCTTGCCAGGATGGAAGGAGTCACAAGAGAAGGAAGCCCTTCTCTACTTGATATCTCTTTCATTTGGCAATAAACAAGGATCTCATTTGGGCTTAAGGCCCTGCCTGCCTTGCTGCAATTCTAACTCCTTTCATTCCTTTCTCAGAAAAGCCTCCTCGTCGACAGTCAGATCATGCCACCTCAGAGCCAACTTGGATAACCATGGTAAAGCAGAGGCAGAAGACTTCCCAGGCTCACGTTCCTATGAAACAACTTAACACCAAGAAAGGAGATGGAGCCAAGGCTAAGACTAAGGAGACTCGATATGGGGTAGGATCTGGGGCAGCCTTGAAAACACTACAAAAACTTGCTGGAGTCACTGATTAAGCTTCCATTGGGAACTTTGTCAGGCATGCAGCTCCCTATCTCTTTGTGCATTAATCAAAGCAGGAGAAGTCTTCAGGGGGAAAAACCATGCTTGTACTTACACAGATATGCCCTGCCTTATGATCTTAAAGAGTCTGGTGAAAAGTAATGAACATGGGGAGATTTTGTAAACCAAATCCTATCCTAAATACTCCAGAGCAGGGTTCCATGAAATTAGTTGAGAAATAAGGTTGTTGTTGTTGTTGTTAGTTGCCCTTGAGTCAATTCTGACTCATAGGGACCCCATGTATGCAGAGTAGGACTGCTCCATAGGATTTACAAAGTTGTGACCTTTTGGAGTAAGTCATAAAACCCCCAAAGGTAACTTTGGGGTAAGATTTAGTGATTATCTTTATAGATATTTTATGCCTATAAATATGTATATGTATTTAAAAATATAAATGGAATCAAACTATACATACTATTTTTTTCATTTAACATTTCATTCTGGTTACATTTCCATATCATTACAAAATGATTTACCTTCATGGATTTGATGTCTGGATTCTTCATATTGATTTGGTTTTGTGTGGCACCTACCTGTAGGTTAAAAAAATGCTATGTGATAAACTATGCTAATGGTACCACATGTGGATCAGGGATGATGGTCTTACTTCCAATGTCCTATTTTCAATGTCTTTTGAAGTGTTGGAATGAGTCAAAACTGCAGAAAACTGACTCAAGAAAACATATCAAATTTACATATCAAGAGATATGTATAAGTTTCTATACTTTTAAGTGGTTACTGAGTTCATTGAGGGACCACCTGATGAACTGTTTAACTCTCTGTTTCAAAGATGTTTTATTTTTCATCATTAGCATTTATATGGGAGCAGGATCATACAAGTGCAAAGTCCACCTTGGTTAGATGTAGACCTTTATTAGGGTTCTGGAAGGAGGATTTGTATGAAGTTTTTATCAGGGGCAGATGCACTAGACCAGTTAATTTATTCCAGTTGTGGAAATTAATTTGAAAAGTCTAGACTGCATGATTTTGAAAAGACCTACGATTACATTGCTTTCTAACGCAAGGAGTGCTTCAAGTCAGATGTCCACAAGTTTCACTAAGTAGAAATCCTATGAAACTCACTTCAATGAATCGATACAATCTGTAACCTCCACATTCTTTTAGTTTGCTGTTAAGAGCTGGTAAAGTACTAGGAAAAAGGTTATTCTCAAATAATTCTCATGTTACCCTGTTTTGTATGTATGATTAGACAACCTTTTCTTTCAGGTCTGAAAGGTGGTAAATTTGAGCCAGCTTAGGTTTTGTGAATCTAAATTCTAAACCAAAGGGCTCTCAGTGTCATTTCTTTCATTTATCCATCTACCCATACATCCATGTATCCATCCATGTATCCATCCATCCATGTATCCATCCATCCATGCATGCATGCATGCATGCATCCAGCCAGCCAGCCAGACAGCCAGCCAGCGAGCCAGCCATCATCTATATCTTTACTCTTGACCACTGTTGAACTCATAGTACCCTGGATAGGGCTTGCACCTGTGGTCTTCTGAATAAGTAACTTGCTGTTTTCATGTTAGGACTTATAAGTTTTCTGTTTTCTTTGTTTTATTCAAGGGCGCTAAACCTGCAAATGAAAATCGACAAAAGGTTTTTGTTTCCAATGTCTATAGACAGGAGAAGATGGCACAGACAAAGCTACCTAAGTCTACCAAAGCAGGTAAAAACTCAGGCCCCCTACTCCCAAAAAATAATCCTGGCAGAATGTTGTGAAACTTGAAATTTCAAGCTCAGGCAATCCATGTCTCTTGCGCCCAATATCAGCAACCTGATTCTCTTGTGGCCCTTCAGTTAGATACAGATAGCAGCCTGTTTTAGGAAAATTCAATGATTATGACTAATATAAATCCAGTGTGTAACTCTCAGAGGGTCCACCAGTCTTTTACCCCACCTAAGGGAGCTATATAGGCACAGAACTATGATCACTTACTAAAATGTTCCTGTGGCTAGGTATGCAAGAGGAAAGTTCTAAGTTACTTTCCAGTTCACAGCAAAGCACTATTTTCTCACCTTTTATATTCCCAATGTAACTGTTAAAAATAACCTACTATAAAGGCCTGGAGTCCCTGGGTGGTACAAACAGTTAAGCACTTGGCTACTAACCAAAAAGGTTGGAGGTTCGAACCCACCCAGAAGCACCTCAGAAGAAAGGCCTGGCAATCTGATTTTGAAAGGTCATAACCACTGAAATCCCTATGGAGTACAGTTCTACTCTGAAACACATGAGGTCACCATGAGTCTGAATTGACTCAATAGCAACTAGTTTATAATGGCCTAGTGGTATTGAATTGAACCTGTTTTTGACAAAATGCAAATGTCTTTAACTATTTGAGAGACTTGTTTCAGCCCCTCTGTAGTCTGAACAGGGATGTGAGAGGTGGGGAAATAGTGACTGCTGAAAAAACACTGTGCTGGGATATAATAGAATGTGGTCTCATTAGTAGGGCATGTATGCTAGAGGTTTTTTTTTTTTTTTTCAGCTGGAGCAGGGGGAGGGAAAGATGGACTTATATTGAACCATCCTTGTCCTTTCCCTTCAGGGCTTTGAACCAGTTTGTTCCAGTTCAAATCCCAGTTGAGAATTTGCATTTCTAACAAGTTTCCAGGAAGTTATACATAAAAATCACACAGGGATCTTGTTAAAATGTAGATTCTGATTCAGTATATCTGGAGTGGAAATGCAAATTCTCAGCAGGGAAAGAAATAGTTCAAAGCCCTGTCTCCTTTAATCTCCCTCTTGAAGAAATTAGACTGGGAATTTGAGAACCCATTGCCTGGCTGTGAAATAGCAGCACCTGACCTGCTCATTGCTATTAATGGCCTCATAGGTACTATACTCTTGTGGAGTGGTTCACAACACTTGCTGTGCATTAGAATCACCTGGTGAGCTTTTTAAAGCTTAAAAGTGGTCCTGGCTCCATCCCTAGAGAGTCTAATTCAGTTGATTCAGGAAATGGCCTGGGCATTGGTATTTTTTTAAGTGCCCTAGGTGATTCTAATATGTAGACAGGATGGAGAACCACTGGTTGAGTCTAAGCCACTGAGTCAATCAATCATAAAGCATGATGGAGGAGGGAGTGGAATTAGGGGTAGGAAGATGGTAGTCTTCTTGGCTAGGGTAGTTGGTACAATGTTGTTTAGCATAGATTTTTACTCTGTGGATCTACTAAATCATCAGTCATTTCACAGGATGTCGTAGATTGGCAAAATACAGATAACCTTACCTTATTTGAAATTTTAAAAACTGAACAGATACCATACAATATCTTTCCTTTCTTGTCTCATTTCAAAAGTGTAAGACATGACAGTCTGAAAATAATGTCCCAAAGATTGGCAGTTACAGCTGTAGGAATTAGCTCTTAGGCCTTGTCATGTCCAGGATCCTGTAGCCATGTTGTTGTTGCTGCATGACGTTGAGTCGATTCCAACTCATAGTGACCATATATGACAGAGTAGAACTGCCCCATAGGGTTTCCTAGGCTGTAATCTTTACGGGAGCAGATGGCCAGGTCTTTTCTCCGTGGAGCCACTGGTGGGTTCGAACCACTGAACTTTTCAGTTCACAGCCGAATGCTTAACCATTGTGCCACCAGGGCTCCTTCCTGTGGCCGTAGCCATGTTGATTACCTTCCTTTGACATGCTGATACTGCCTTTGACATTGCCCATGCACTGACTTCTAGAAGCCTGGCACTGAAGGGAGCAGGAGTTGGAAAGCATTAAGAGCAGGGGGATCAGAGGAAACCTAAAAGATGGAAAAATGTGATTGCATCCCATAAACAACATACCCCAGTATCTCTGGGGCTTCTTATTGTTTGTGTGTTATTTGCTGTGGTTTCAGTTGAAGATCAGAAGATGGTTCAAGTGCCTGCCATGGAAAAAGAAATCAAAAGATCTGCAACTCTGCCAGCAGTGCTCCAAGAGCCCGCTGAGCCGGCTGAACCAGTTTGGTTCTCCCTGGCCAAGAAGAAAGCCAAAGCATGGAGCCATATAGCAGAAATCATGCAATAAATAGCTCATGGGTTGAGCGTCAGCATTTTAAATGATAATTACCAATAGCTGTATTAATTCCATGTAGTGGTTTCTTGACTGCGATGATTTTTAATTTAGCAAAAGAGCCTTAGAAATGAGAATTAAAGCTTATAATTATTTGAATGACATAAATGCCACGAATGCCTAACCTTCAGTACAGTCACTGCCAGCATCAGGAAACCCAGCATTTCCTCTCTAAAAAATATGGAAAATCTTTGCACTGCTGTAGAATTACAAAATCTTTAACATTGAACAATGTGCTTTGGAAGGAAGAAAGCAAAAACATTTTGTGGGAGCAGCTAAGAGGTTGTCATTTCCCTTAACCAAATAAAGTATTTCTACTGGAAAAATCCAGATGATTTGGCCCAAGGATTGGATTTTAGGCTTCATAAGCCAAGTTAAATGCTTCAATTCTTTGGTAGCTGCTCCCAGTTTTATAAAGGTTCCCAGAATAGGTGGTGGAAGTGAAAATTCTGGGTCTCCGAGAAAAATTTTGCACGGCCAGTCCCCCAGTTACACTACCTTTGGAAACATCTTCCCTGTATCCCTGGGGAGAGGGGCAATGCCTGCAACTCAGGTGACAGTAACACACAGAGCACTTATATAGAGCTGTCCCTTTGCATATGCCCCAGGCCAACCTGCCCCAGGCCTGGCCACAGTGAGAGCCTCCCAATGATGTTAATACTCTGGATCATTAGTCCATCAGTGTTTGGCCTTTTGCCCCAATGCCACTGAGACCCTCTCCAATTGCTCAGTAATATACTGCCCGTCATACATATCCTGTTGTTTAAGCACTTAATACCCTCTCAAAACTCAACATTGTACACATGCCAAAAGCTGTACTTGCAATCTCAAGCAGATGGCAAGCTCACCACCATGAAGGAAGCCTGCGGCCCCTGGAGAGCTTCCTTCCCCTCTGGCTCCAGCCTCAAGTTGGAGAATGCCCTGTAACCCTGCTTCTAGTCCCTTCCCCTCAGCAGCCTCTGCAGCCCAAGGTTTTAGCCCAAAGCAAGACTGCAATCCCAAAGCCATAGAGCAATTGACTTTCTGCCAACTGGAAGCCTTGAGTGATTAAATCAGCATCTCCCACCCTCATTCCTAGAGGCACACACCTCAAAAGTTACTAAGATGGATAGCCTTCACCTCCCCAGGGAACCACACACCCCAGCCCTAGAAAGAAGGAAGCCAAAAAAGGGAGAGTGGGAGAGGAAGAGTCAGGAGGAGAGTGATGGTCAGCTGTGAGGGGAGGGGGCAAGCAGGCCAGCAAGAATTGACTCCTCCCTTCCCACCCTGTCCTCAAGTTTTTTCTTTTGTAGCACCACCTTTATGAAAAACTCATAGGCAGAGTAGTGAAGACATAGGTACCTTTACCACAGAGTCAGTTTGTTACTTGGCAGATCTCCATGAGGCAAACCGCCCTAGATATTCATGCAGGTTCACCAGAAGTTAGTTAAATCTGCCTGTCCATCTCCTTTCCCTTTATTCCATCCCCCAGACACACCAAACACTAAGGGAGAGCGCTCTTCAGCCGCAGCGCAGTGTTTCTAGGGTATTGCTCTGGCCCTGGGTGCGTGGCGCCACTGAACAGTTTCTATTAACCCTGTACGCCCGGCGTCCTTCCTCAAGCACGGTAATGTGTTAATTAAAAGATTAACGAGTTTGACTTGTGTTTTTGAGCTGATATTAAAGTTATCTGAAAGAGTGGTGTCAGGTGTTTGGACGGGTGAGATTTCAGTGCTTGCCATAGGCGCCATTTTCTGTAGATGCGCCATTTTCTGTAGATACGCCACTGGCCGTAACAGGTTAATAGAACCGCTCAGTGGCACCAAGCGCCCAGGGCCGGTGCAATACCTGCCATAACCTAGTTATGCCCCTGGTGGAATGTAAACCTAGCTCATTTTCTTAGGAGACCCAGAAGTGACTTCTTAGTTATCACTGTGTCTGCCTCTGTCACCTCGGAGCTACTTTGCTTAAACAGAAATGCACGCCTGAACATCTACCTGTGCTTTTAAATTCTGAGTGGAGCGGCTGCCCCATGCAAAAACCCAGAGAGCAAGTTAGGTATCAGAACTAATTTAAACCCTTGATGCTTTGTTTTGCTGATGCTGGTATGTAACACTATAAACTACATGCTGGACTTTGTATTTTCGTTATAAAATCTCTTTTTCCCGATACTGTATCTTTGCCTTTTTGATAATTGCAAGGTTTTTGTTGATTGGATTTTACTTCTTTTGCGTTCCCATAGCGAACAGTTCATTTGTAGATGTGCTTTACCCAGGTAACCCTGGTAGAGTAGCTGTTACACCTCCCTCCCCCCTGTTCTCAGAGTGGACCACTACTGGGTTATTCTCACTCTGGGAACTCCCCATTAACATTTTTTTTCCCACAGTAACAACAAAACAGTTTTAAAATGAAGAGGTTAAGTTTTATTCTTTAATGCCTAGAGGCACATTCTGATCAGTTTTCAGCTTCTTTGTAGTTTCTGTGATTTTTGCTGTATGCGAAACAAATAAACACAATAAAATCTTTTCCGTAGCCTGTCTCAGTCTGTAACACTGGGAGGGAAATCAAATAGACTATTGCTAACTCAGTCCTGAGGGTTGTCAGAGAAGCAGAATGTTCTTAAGAGGAGTTGTGCTGACCCTAACTGGCCTCCATCCACGCAGGTGTGCTTTATCAAGCTGATGGCCTCCTGGTGGGAGTTTGTATGGGGAGGCGTGTTCTTGAAGAGAAGGTTTTCATGCGTATAAATATCTGGGAGCAAAGAAAGAGACCACTGGGAAGGGAGTGCAGTTGGGGGTGTGCAGAGAGGGCAAGACGGCTGGTACTCCAGCCTGGCCCAGAGACTAGGTCCAAGCCCTAGAGCAAGATGGGCCACTGGAACCAGCCATTTTCAGAAGCCAGGTGCCACACTGGGCTCAGATAACAAAATGTAACACGGAGTGACGAAGGGGAGGGTGTGATAGACCAGAAATTTAACCTGGCCGCGTATAACATTCTAACACTTGCAGGGTTCAGGCCAAGAGTTCAGCTGGGAGCTCACATGTCATATGTGAAATGTTTAAATCAACTGATAAACCATTAAATAAGTGATATCTCCTTCCATGACAAATGTACCTTCATAACGACCTGAAAGGCCAGGCTGGGATTTATAATTCTTGTACTCCTCTAAGTCCTGCTCCAACGGTACGGTAGAGCTGCTTCTTGCTCCTCCCTAATCCCTCCCCACTGTTTCCCCCCAATACAGCCGCCCCTTAGGCCTGAAAGAACACAGTGCAGTCAAATCTCCCAAGGACAGACCCTGGGAAAAGCACGCAGGCCCTGGAAGCAGGCTTGGGGCTGTTCAGAGGCACCTGGAGCATGGCCTACTCAGGGCACAGCCCTTGTTGTTCCCATGGTCTTGGCTCCTGGCTCTGTGAGGAGTATGACTGGAAGAGGGCCAAAGCAGGGTCTCTGAAGTATAGAGCTCAGGACAGGGCTTTTGCCTGGGTCTAAAAGCAATACTATATTAACTAGTACGGCATAAACACTAACAAATCAGAACCAGTTTGAAGCTCCTCAAATCACACTGTGGATAACTGTCTACTTGCCCTGCCCTTTCAGTTTAAGTAACGGTGATAAGGGGCCCTGTGCCTTTTGTCTCACAATGTGACTCTAGCCATAAGGCATACTAATACATTTTAAATTATCAACACTGGGGACAAAAAAGGCGGGGGGGGGGCTGCAGAAGCATTAATTTTACTTCACTTTAATAGACATTAATTGAGAACCCACTAAATAGAAAATTCAGTGCCTAGGGATATGGGAAAGAAAGATAAAACCCTTTAAGGTCCCAACCATTCAGAAGTTCACAATCCAAGAGATGGTGAGGTGGGGAAAGTACTCATATATAAGTAATGCACAAATATTTGTACACAAATGTTCATAGCAGCACTATTACAATAGCCAAAAGGTGGAAACAATCCAAATGTCCATCAACTGATGTACGGAGAAACAAATTGTGGTGTGTGTATATATATATATATATATACACACACACATACCCAACCAAACCCACTGCTGTGGGTTCTGACTCATAGCGACCCTACAGGACAGAGTAGAACTGCCCTGTCTTAGTTATCTAGTGCTGCAGTAACAGAAATACCACAAGTGCGTGGCTTTAACAAAGAGAAGTTTATTTTCTTACAGTAAAGTAGGCTAAAAGTCCAAATTCAGGGCATCAGCTCCAGGGGAAGGCTTTCTCTCTCTGTCGGCTCTGCAGGAAGGTCCTTCTCATCAATCTTCCCCTGGTTGAGGAGCTTCTCAGCACCAGGACCCCGAGTCCCGAGTCTAAAGGACGCACTATTCTCCTGGCCCTTGTTTCTTGGTGGTATGAGGTTCCCAACTCTCTGCTCACTTCCCTTTCCTTTTTATCTCTTGAGAGAGAAAAGGTGGTGCAGGCCACACCCCAGGGAAACTCCCTTTACATTGAATCAGGGATGTGACCTGAGCAAGGGTGTTTACATCCCACCCTAATCCTCTTTAACATAATCTAATCCTGCCTCATTAACCACAGGCAGAGATTAGGATTTACAACACAGGAAAATTATTATGCTACATTTGTATGCATCTCTCATAGGCATGCTTTTTACTCCATATATATGTATCCACAATCAATAGATGGTGATCATTTGTATGTTTTCTAGACTTCAGATACATGGTATCACAATGTTTGTATCCTTCTGGAGCCAGCTTTTCCCCTTTTGCATTTTTCTGCTGCCATAACCCAGTCTTTGCCCTCAGGGTCTCAGCCCCCTGTGAGTTGTGGTCGCCTCCCCAGTCCAGCCTTTGCAGTCCTGTTTATCTTCAACAGTGCCAAGCCAGTGAATCAAGGCTGGTCCTACCATAGGTGAGTCTCAGCTTCTTGGTCTGTTCTTCTAAACCAGTGGTTCTCAAACCTTGCACTGGTTCTCAAACCTTGCACATCAGAAACCCCTGAAACCCGTTGCCCTCAGAGTCAATTTCTACTTATAGTGACCCTATAGAGGACGGAGTAGAACTGCTCCATAGGGTTTCCAAGGCTGTAATCTTTATGGAGGTAGACTGCTACATCTTTCTCCTGTGGAGCGGCTGGTGGGTCTCAACCACCAGCCGTTCAGTTAGCAGCCTAGTGCTTAACCACTGTACCACCAGGGCTTCTTGGATCCCCTGAAGGGCTTCTTAAAACAGATTGCTGGACCCTACCCCAGAGTTTCTGATTCAGTGGGTCTTGGGTGGAGCCTGAAAATGTACATTTCTAACAAGTTCCCAGGTAATGCTGATTGTTGCTATTTTGAGGACCACACTTTGAGAACCACTACTCCAACTCAAAGCCTAGGTCCAGGCTCAACAGCACCATATGGCCTGCAGGCAAGCTAGGTCATCCATAAGATTTCCTTCCAAACACGCTCTAGAGCAGCACTGTCCAATACACATATAATGTGAATCACATGTATAATTTAAAATTTTCTAGTAGCCACATTAAAAACGTAAAAAGAGACTGGTAAAATTAATTTTATACTATATTTTCTGTAACTCAATAAGTTATTTC